GTCTGTGTGCGCGGCATAGCGAGCTGTCTGTCCCCTCTGTATCGCTGCCTGTGTGGTTTTAGCAGCTAGTTCTTTGGAGTGTACAGATCGGGTCCTTCAACCTCATCTTACTGTATGAGCAAGCTTCAGCAGTGCCAGCCATGAGCCTCAGACATGTCCTTAATAATAACATTAATAATAAAATGGTTCCTCGCTGTGATCTATGTAAGGAAAACGCTGCACTCCAGGAAACCTCTCCTCTTCATTTCTTTTACAGCTGATCGTGGGAGACCTCCTTAAATCGTTCAATTGTGTGATTGGGTTTTATTTGTTTCATGCCTTTAACTTTTGATTCTGCCTTGAATGTAGACTCGTGTCCAGTGTGTTAGACCCTGGCCTGTTATAAGGGCGACGGTGCTAACTAAAGGGTTTGTTTTTGTTTTGTTGGCAACTCTCTGAATGTTTGCAACCATGAAACATGTTGGAAGACTTTTATATTTATGCAGTTGTACATTTTATTTCTTTGCAAAATATTGTAATGTATAATGCAATACCAAAGTGATGAGTGTAAGAGAGTCTTTATCAGAAGCAATGCAGTACGCCTTTTGTAGGCTGTCAGCGTCTTGCCTTGCGACCTTTAACGGTTGACTCTGAGTTTATGTTCTGGCCGTGAATGTAGGCGAGTGTGTAACGAAGAGCTGACAGGCGGCTAACTTCCACAGGCCTGATGTCCATGCATTTGTCCAAAAACACGGAGTTCACGCAGAGCTCGGTGGCTTAGATGAATGACGATGTTGGCTTTAATCTGTAGGATCTCATGTTGATGTAAAACATTCGACCATAAATTTACCTCCAGTCAACTTTTCATCTGTTCATTTAATCAGATAGAAACCAATAAAGTCCGACTGGACCTTCCTCTGGTGTCGTGCTCTTTTTGTCTGTTCTCGTGTCGGCGTCACATTTGCATCATGTGTTTGCCCGCCATCCCCAACGAGGGGCTGTGTCCTTCCTGCCTGGAGTCCACGTCCTGCAGCTCAGTATAAAACCCTTTATACTTCGTGTCGTGCTCGTAATGCAGTAGAGCGTTTACATACTGCAGGGGACAGACTGATAGTTAATGATTAAACAGAGTGAAGGAGAAACACCCAGTGCATCATGGGATGCAGAGCTATTGCAGCTAGCTAAGGGAGGATCCAGGGTCGCCTGGTCCAGCTCGAGCTATAGGCTCTATAAAACAGGAAACTCTGTTATTCACTTCAACTCTGCGTCTAAGCAGACATTCGGCACTGGTGAACTGGGAGCCATCCTGTTTTCAGAGTGCATGTGTGCAGGCCCTTTCATGTGCAGTCACATGACAAAAAGACTACAAAGGAAGCTTTAAGCGTGCTTGTGTACATCCAGGCTGAACTTCATGTTTAACTCCTTTTCGAGCTCTTTCAGAGCTTCCAGATGCTCACACAGCTTCATCTCACGCTTCATGGAAACAGGTCTGAAGCTGCTTTCAGTGGCACAAAGTCTGTCTCAACACTGAAAGTAGAGCGTCTGCTAACTCTGTCCGGCTCTCCTGTCTGTGTGACAGAGGACAGGGCCCTCCCCCTCTTCCTGTTTGGCCTCAGTGATGAATGAACTGTTGTTGGCTGAGGGCAGGGCACCGTGACTGGACGATTTCTGTTCCTGTTCAGTTGTTGAGTGTCCAGTGTTGGGTTTCTGTAATTACAGGAGGAAGCTGCTGTGTGCAGCTAACACAGGGATGTTGTTTCAGGCGCCGGGGGGCAAAGCGCCCTTTACTTGAGGCTTTTTTTGTTTTAATGTGTGTGTGTAAAATTATTCATCACCATTTTTCCTTAATGAAACGATCTGGCTTTCATGCGTCACATGATGACCGTTAACCAGCGATCGCCCGTGACGCCACAGCGCGCTGGCTATGAGCAGGAACGAGCTCGCCAGGGGGGCAAGCAGCTTTTGCACTAAACGTGATCTGTTATGCATATCTGCATGAATATGGATTATTACAATATTAAAAAACCTCACTGTATTTTAAAGAAAATGCATTAAGAAACAGACTCTATTAGAGATTATTCCAAATATGATGCAAAATGATTGTATCTACAGTGTGTGACTGGGTGTGTAAAGCGCTGTGCACTGGCCCAAAGAAAATAAAGAAATGATTTTCTCTTTCTGTAGAGGATGAGATGATTTTTAACAGGACATGTTTATAACAGCTGCTTCAAACTGAGGTCCTCTTGGCCCCTGGACACGTGTGTCCTGGTTTCACTGTTCATCTTTACATGTTCTCTGCCGCTTGGTTTTCCTTGTTAATCAGCTCACTTTCCTTCTGCATAAATCAACCTGCTCGCCTGTCACCGCATGCAGGTAGATACGATCTGTTTGCATCAGCACACCTGTGTGCCAAACAAAAAGAATCAATCCTCAGCAACAAGCAAGGCCCACCAGCCAACACCAGTGAGCAGGTGTCTTACTACAGGAGGGGCATTGATGCATGTGTGGAAAACACCGAAGCACGTTTGGTAAATGCACCGTGCTTTTCTTCTCTATCCGAGCAGCCAAGGGTTCATACACGAGTCACACTCCAATGAACACATCAGGAGAAACCCAGGGGTTCGTATCGTGCCCACGGATACGTGACTCTGAGCAGCCCAGTAAGCTCACAGTCTAAATAATAAGTAATAATGGTGGGCTAATGCAGACCTTCCCAAAGTGTGGGGCCCGCCCCTACGGGGCCGCAGAGCCATGGCAGGGGGGGCACGGTATGAAAAGGATAAAACCAATGCTTGGACACTGCTAGCACGGGGCCCACACAAACGCACAGCAGGAGATGAAGCATCCCTGAATATGTTTCCAAACCAACTTCATTCTAAGCCAAAGACTAGAAAATATGGTGAAGCCTGTCTGCCCTTTGGCTTCACCTGCACAGGTGCTGAGGTAGGTCTCCCTGCAGGGTTGGTTTTCCTGTGGTCAGGAGCAGCTGGGCTGTTCAAATCACAGACTAACAGGATCCCACAGCTGTTTATGTTTTTGAACCCATTTTGCACAGAGAGGCATTATTTGGAACATGTATTGACAGCATGCTTAGGCTGCTGCCTCGGATAAAGCGGATGAAGATGGATGGATGGTATTGACAGCAATGTTGAATATTATTACACAGGAAAAAACAACTACATGTAAAATGACGCCTCTGCCTTCGTAAATGGAGGGACAGTAACTGCTGTAAAGCTGCAGACAGTCAGATTAACAGTATTTCGTCTCTATCTGCCATTCTGCAGTTCATCTCACGTAAACAATAACGTGCACACAGCGTGGCGTGGAAAAGGCGCATACCTTTGACGTTGCGTGATGAACTCTGTATTCCTCGTCCACGTAAACGCAAAAAGGAGTTTTAAAAATCTCAGTTTTCGGTGACTCGAAACAGCTGCGTGTTCAAAAACACCCGTGTAGGTGCGGGCGCAGCCTAAAAGAGTTTATTTTCTTACTGCCTGTCATTTATTGCAGGTTACTTGTATTTGCTTAATTGTTTAGTAAATGTTTGAGGTGTGAAATAAACCGCAGTGGAGCGAAATAAGGGTGTGTGGTTGGAGGATGTGTGCGCAAACAAAGTTTGGGAAGCACTGATGTATTGCTGATTATTTCTGAACACAAGAGGGCAGCAGCGCTCCGTGAGTCCGTGCCTGTGACGCGCTGGTTCATAATCAGGAAGATTCACACATAAAAGCACCAACACAGATTCAGTCTATGTGTGCAAAGACTTCAGCAGCTACAGGAAACAGAAGACTCGGGACTCGATCAGTGGGATTTTTGTCTGTTAACGCTACAGCTTGGCTGATTATTTAAAGGAGTGCTCTGGGAACCAGGTTGAACCTGTGTTCTTGGCAGCACAGACTGTGTGTGTTCAGCTGTGCTGATTATTTAGACGATGTTTTCTTGTTTCTGTAAAGCTGGAAGGTCTCGTATGAAGGCACATGATGATGCTGCAGGATGCTCCTCTGGGGACGCAGGTAGAGCTGCCACTGAGGCTGTAATGAATTTAATTGGTGAGTGAGATGAGTGGCTGTCAGCAGCTTGTTAACACATCAGCAGGTCTGGGAATTAGCAGAGAGATGACAGTGAGAGAGGCCTGTCTGCTTGTACAAACCAGCTGTTGATAGTTGCACCAGGCCTCACACTTAGTTTCATTTGAGCTGCAGCGCTTTGTTTATTGGTACCCAGCACATCAGTGTGCATATGGCACAGACACGGCCTCTATAGCAGTGTGTCGTGGTGAGCCGTTGGTCGGCCATGAAGCGTTTTCTGCCTGAGCTTTTACAGATTTTGTTCCGCACTAGACACATGAACTCTGATCATCACTTCTTCTTCTTCGTCTGCCAGAAGGCATCAACAGCTTAACTCCAATCTCATTTACAGCTCCTAATCTGAGTGGCTGCAGCTAAGCACACACACACACACACACGAGCACGTCTTTCAGTGACAGCTGCATCTCCTCATGTGAAGCCACAGACACAGCCACTACCTCACTGATGGAGACCTCAGTCAGATGATGACTGACTGTCCTGTGCAGCCGTCACATCCACTCTGCAGCTGCTCTCACTCGAGCAGCACAGACGGTGAGCGAGCTCGCGGTCCAGCTCAGATTAGAGCAGGCTGCAGGAGGTCCTGCTCCTCCGTCGGCTGCAGGTGGAGTCTGATGTTTTACTTTAGCCGTCCACGCAGTAAGAGGATTTACTCAGACTGGAAGGGATAAAAATAAAGAGTAAGTCTTTATTTTGATATGCCTCTACTCTCTACCTGCAGGAAATGCTGTCAAAACATTTGAATGTATGAAGATTACACCAGCACAAGCTACAGTCACAGTGGGATTGGCTTCATAAGCAAACTGTAAGTACACACTGAAGCCTCCGCTGCACTAACACACACTGTTCATGTCACACCGCTGGAGTGACGCCTGTTCAAGGCTTTCAGTAAAACGATCAGTTCTGTGAAGTCAGGACTCACAAAGTCCACAAAAACGATGGTTTGTCACAGACGGTGTCACCAGCTCTTTGTCTGGTGCTTCTTGTATGCAGGGAAAACGACTCCTTCATGTCTCCCCTCCCTCCGCCTCCTCCCCCTCCCTCCGTCTTCTGCAGGGAGGTGGTGCGGAGTGCACAAGAAGCAGAAAGTCTCCCACACCACAGGAAAAGCTCATCCACCATAAAGCATGACTCTGGTTTTCTGCAGTGACTTGCATTAGAAGTATGTGAGCAGGTGTCCTCGGCTCGGTTCTTGAAGGAGAAAACAAACCTGAGCGACGTGGGATTTATTCCACGCTCATCTTCAATTCCCTTCACAGGTGGAAGCTGCTCAGCATCATCATCTCTCACATTCAGGTAAGTTTACACAATAAGAAGTGGCTGTGATCGCACAAAGACAACTGCAGAACTGCCCAGAGTTAGAGCTTAAATGTCAGGTTGAAACTCTAATTTTAGCTGCTGTGATCCTGGAGTGAAGGGATTTGAGTCAACGGTGCTAAAGAAGAACCATGCAGAGCCAACGAGGCTAAATAAAGATAGGAGCTCTTTATCTGCTGCTCCGTAAACTAAACGCAGACTCTGGTCACAACATTGTTGCTGAACCCTCTTCTGATTTCATGTGAATGCAACAGATTTTCTACAGAAAAAAGGATGAAATGAAATATGTAGAAGCCCAGGCTGCAAATGTTTCTGTTTATCAGACCTTTTTGTGTGTCATCAGCCACATCTTCATCACCATGCTCTCTAATAACTGCAGGCACAGAGTAGCTTCTAGAGCTGAGGTCAGATGTGTTCGGACGTTTCTGCTCCTTAGGTTTGAAATGAAACAATGAAACTACGCCACAGTTTATAATTTCACATTTCAACATTTGGTTCAGTTTTATTTATATACCACTACTTACATAATCGTTATTATTAGTCTGTGAGGCTTTTCCACAGGCTGTCTTTCTCTGTCCTGTAAATCACAGCACAGAGAAAACCCCAACAATCGGACAGCTTCCTTTTGAGCAAGCACTTGGTTACAGTGAGAAGAAAAAACCATTTTTAACAGGAAATAACATCCAACCATTTGCTTTGACACGTTTGGGGCGGTGGATACAGAATAGATAGAAAACATTATTTATAGTTTCCAGACAGAAACAAGTCACATAAAACAGAATATGCTGCTGAACATCCTTGGCAACAGGTACTGGCTGTGGATGATTTGTATCACAGCATGCCTCATTTACCCATTCACACACATATCTTCCACTTATTCATCCTCAAACCTCTGTGGTGACTTTGGTGGTGTGATTGGGATCACTGCCCTGCTGTGGGAGTTGTGGTGCATTTATCTCTTTATGCAGTTTGTACTCATTTCTCCCAAAAACTGATTCTGTTCATCTGGATGTTTTCAGTGGGAGAAACGTTTCGTCATCATCAGGTGACGTCTTCAGTCTCAGCTGACTGCAGGTTCCAATCTTAGAAACAGGACATTTGCATAATGACTGAAACCAGCCCACTGAGGAACAATGGGCTGGGAGGGCAGCTCCTTAATCTTAATTATGCAAATTCTCATGACCATTGATCAACAATCACTGACCAATGGCCATGAGTCCCGTTCACAGAGAGTTGGTGAATGGCTGCAATCACAGCATGTAAGATGGTGACAGATGTACCCTTAGGCCCCTCCTCCATTCAGAGATGGTCTTTTCCTTTTCACGTAAATGGCATCCTTGACTCCGCCCTCAAACCAGCGTTCCTCCCTGTCCAGGATGTTACATCCTCATCATTGAAACAGTGTCCACTGGCCTGTAGGTGTAGACAGACTGCAGAGTCCTGGCCTGACGAGGTGGCTCTGCTGTGTTGGTCCATCCTCTCAGCCAGAGCTTGTTTGGTTTCCCCGATGTATAAATCCTGGCACTGAACAGCGTACACTATGTTGCTCTGTTTGTGTCGGGGACCCGATCCTTGGGCTGGACCAGTTTTTGGCGCAGCGTGTTTTGGGGTTTGAAAGCCACAGAGACCTGGTGTTTAGAGAAAATGTGTCTCAGCTGCTCCGATATAATTTCTGTCCGTTTGACATGTTTAGCACACAAGTCCACATTTGTTTTTAAAACGCATGATTTAATGTAGAAAGAAGCACATTCAACTGAAGAGTATGAGATACACTTACTGCTAACTGTAACCGCTAACTACTAACTATGTGACTCTTAGAAAGACCCCAAAACCAAGCAATCTCTATGCAATCACCACCACGTCTGTGCTGCAGTCATATCAAACTGCATTTGAAAATCACATAAAATCACATCACACACCTAACTAAGGCCCCATCTTATCTTAATGACCTTGTAGTACCATATCACCCTATTAGAGCGCTTCGCTCTCGCTCTGCAGGCCTACTTGTTGTTCCTAGAGTATTTAAAAGTAGAATGGGAGGCAGAGCCTTCAGTTTTCAGGCCCCTCTTCTGTGGAACCAGCTTCCAGTTTGGATTCAGGAGACAGACACTATCTCTACTTTCAAGATCAGGCTTCAAACTTTCCTTTTTGCTAAAGCATATAGTTAGGGCTGGACCAGGTGACCCTGGATCCTCCCTTAATTATGCTGCAATAGATGTAGGCTGCCGGGGATTCCCATGATGCACTGGGAGTTTCTTCTTCACTCACTATGTATTAATAGACCTCTCTGCACTGAATCATTAGTTTTTATTGGTTCTGCTGGAGGTTTCTTCCTGTTAAAAGAGTTTTTCCTTCCCACTGTTGCCAAAGTGCTTGTTCATAGGGGGTCACATGAGTGTTGGGGTTTTCTGTGTGTGTGTTATTGTAGGGTCGACCTTACAGTATAAAGCGCCTTGAGGTGACTGTTGTTGGGATTTGGCGCTGTGTGAATAAAATGAACTGAATTGAATTCAGTCACACTACCAAGCCCAACGAGTGCTGTGAATGTGGGACTTTGGCTTCAAAAAGTACAAAGTTATTTACTTCTATTTAAAGTGCTCATTGTGCTCACACTTTAATTACGACAGCTGCATGCACATGAGCAAAGTGTCCTTTGACCTCAGAGCCTGTATGCAGCTTTGGACCCGGTGAAACAGGCTCAGTGCAGGTCGTGTTTTCCTGTAATCCAGTATGTCACTTGGATTTTTCATTCGAGGTAGTCTTCAAGGATGCACTTTGGAAGAAGCAGCGTCGGCCCTGCGGAGCCCGTCCTCAGCAGACGAGACGGCGCCGTGGGGAACAGGTGAGCTTTCAACCCGAAGCCGCAACAGAACATTATTATACTGAATGCACTCAACATCAATATGCTGTTTTCAAAAGTGATAAGAACATAACTAGCTTCAGTTGTTTGACAATTAGATTTCCACGTACTCAGTCAGACACAGCCAACACAGCAGAGGACGAAGGAATCTGATTCCAGGCTCTGACACAACAAAGCTGAATAAAACGAAGCAGCGTGGAGCAGAGTGAAGGAATTAGTGGAGCTGTCCCAGTGAAGAGCACATGCAATACAAAAGAGAAGAGAGCAGGGTGGCACTGCTACCGTCTTTATGTCAGGAAACACAAGTGAAGTGGTTTCCTGTGTTGTTCCACTCATGTACCCACTGTGGACACGCTGACACGTGTTGCATGTATTTACAGTTGATCTTGTATTATTCACATGTGTTCAAACCCCAGTTACAGTCTCATAATTAACCTGTGTGTGTGTGCCTTTGTGTGTGATGTGTTATCTTCCCATGGTTGGTTTCCTGCTGCCCGTTATGACCGCGCTTATCCTTAAATTGTTCCTTGGTCGCAAATCCATGCAATGATTTATCGATCTTGCAGCGATGATCAACGGGTCCTCGCCGCAAAGAACACAAACAACTGCAACAACAATGACGGGTAAGATGACGTCCTCTCACACGTCTTTATTCTCATCTCACTGATGAGTCAGGCATTCTCCACGTCCGTGTACAGATTCTACAGCTGTCCACAAACCTTTCAGTTCAGGCAGCTGAATCAGTGCTGTGTCAAACCTGTGGTTCAGATGAGGGTCTGATTTGGGGCTGAGCAATCGGTGAGCAGAGGTCTCATCGTTAAACGCATCGTCGCCATCGAAGGCAGCGTAGGATGTTTGTGACAGAGATGTGTGTTATTCTTGAGTTAGACTAGAGGCCGCCCTCAGGTGGAGTGTAAGGGCTGAGTTTAGGACTTTAGAGAGATCAAACAAACTAAATGTGGGACAAAGACTAGAAGTGTGTCAAGAAGCATTTAGCATGTCAATGTGACCTTCTCAGCTCCCTCGTTAATGACATTTACTCTCAATATACTGAGACTGTATTAAAGGAGCTCAGTTGAATTTAATGCTCTTTTATTCTCATGCATGGACTTTTTATACTAGTAGACTTTCAAACCGTTAACTGTCATTCAGGCGTCATTTTGTCTGGTGATCACTGGGGTTAGAGACAGGACGCATCCCTCGACAAGCACATCCTTTCTGAGCTAGAGCTTGTAAAAATGAAAGTCTTGAGATCCACCTTCTAGCAGCTTCCGCCAGTTATTAGAAGCTTTTTGGGCTACTGTGTCAACAGTCACCCAAGTGTTGTTGTGATTTGGTGCTATATAAATAAGGTTGAAGAGGATGATTCTGACACAGGAGGAGATAGAAGATGATGAAAATGTCAGGAAAACAGAGGATATTAAGAGTACATCCCCTACCTGTTTATGAACATTACAGAAAGAAGGACGACAAAAAGGATGAAAAGAAAGACGACAAAAAGGACGACAAAAAGGATGAAAAGAAAGACGACAAAAAGGA